CTTGCAACATGTAAATGCCAGGCCCCATACCAGTTTGAAGACTGTGGAGCACATTGACTAGACTGTTCTACCACAGCCGCTGTACAGTCCTGATTTGGCACCTTCTGATTTCCATCTGTTAGGCCAATGAAAGATGGAGTGTGTGGGCAACATTTTCCTACCTCTGCTGGTGCAGATTTTTATGAGCAAGTCATGCAGGCTCTTGTTCATTGCTGGCAAAAATACATAGCTAAAGCTGGTGACTATGTTAAAAAATAGCATTTTGTAGCTGAGAATTTTCTCTATCAAAGAGTGTTACTGTGCTCTCTGTTTCTGTTGTAGTTTCCAGGGAAATAAAAAGGAGGCATTACTTTTGGAGTGACCTACATATCCCCTACAGGTTGCCTCTTCCCTTAATAATCTCAACAAAGATGTTCTGGCCCTGCTGCTTTATTGGTCTAAATTGCAATGTACTCAGTCTTGGGTTTGTTTGTTTTGATTTGGCATCTTTTTTGAATACTTGTTCACTGCTGCAGAATGATTTCTGCCACTTGCTTCTTCCCTGCTGTTTAGAACAAGTTGTCCTAAAATCTGTTGAACATCGTTATTGTTGGTACACTTGCAACATAGAATTATGTAATATTGTGTTAGGAGGAAGCACTGAATACCACTTACAGAAATTAATGGAACAGAATCCTTTTAATTAAATTGTAAGTTCTGGAATTCAGCAGAAAACGCACAGCATCACGCCGGATTTTTTCAGAATGCTTCCTCTGGCCACTTTTATAAAACAGACTTCTAAGTGTCCTGCTAGCCCTGAGTCTGTTACTGAAGACTCACATCTATGGAAATAGGCCAGCCTGGTACGTGTTGTTTTGTTATGAGTCCATACGGAGTAATTCCTGCTAAGAAGTCAGCTCCTGAATTACCTGTAAAGCAGCCCTGTGCTTCAGGATGCTAAACCAGCTTATTTGCGTCATAGCAGAATGGGTGGAGATGAGAACCATCACCATGCCAGGATTACCTGCTGCATCTGATGCACTGCAGCACCTGCTGGGAGATGTAACCCAAAGTGCACTTCTGTGTGCCAGCACAGGCTGCCACAGCACAAGGATTCACTTCCACGTTCAGATTTTTTAGTTCTTATTTTCTTCCTTCACCTCTCTTGTGCTTTTGGAGTACTGTGGGAGAATAATTGTAGATCATGATGTCTGAGGAGATTTCCTGCAGCCACTAAAAAAAACACCATGCAGGCTTCCAGTGTTTCTTGATAAGTGTTGTGATCTCTGTGCTGCACTGAAGAGCAAGTGGAGCTGAGCATTTCTGTCTCCACAGCACAAATGGGAGCTGAATGAACAGACCTCTGTGTGAAAGGGCTGTGGGGTAAAATTATTGGAAACACTGACCTTACAGCTGTGGCTTTGCATCTCAAAATGCTGAGATTTCACTTTCCCTTCCCTTCCCTTCCCTTCCCTTCCCTTCCCTTCCCTTCCCTT